TTAACATTGGTTTTAAAATGAATGTTTCTGAGTAAGGGCTTCAGAATTGAGTCCTAGTGTAGTTCCTAGCACTGATATCATCAATATAATAATAAAAGTTTAGGAGCCTTGTCATTTTATTTTGTCTTAGTGTGCAGGAGTGGGCTACATTTTCCGAACACCTGGAAGAAAACCAGGTGGGGAAGAGAATTTCTCAGTGTCCTGGTAAGAGCCAGTAGAATAAAGAGGCTTAGTGTTATTTTATTATTGCTGCTTAGGCAAATAAACACATTATTATGATTGTTCCATAAGCAAATGAAATAGAATTGGTTTACAGTAACTTGACTTCTGCCTTAATCTTTATTACCTCGCAACTGATAAGTAGCTGGTGAAAGTGCTGGCCTTGGTTCGAAGGCCTTATGAAATAGGAAACCATAAACTTACAAATGATATGTATTGGAAAATATTCTGTTGGGGTATTCATTGTGGTGTTAAAATTTAGAAGAAGAACTCTGCATTTCTGCTTTTACCCACATTTTCCTGCCATGTAGGATCAGTTTAGGTTAACATAAGTAACTCTTTTAAGTGAGAATGAAGGTAAAATGTATTGCCTTTAGGGTACAAAAACTGAGGTCAAATTCTCTTTAAATTGTACCCACCCAAGGATATAATGACATCATCATTTCTACCAGACTGAGATCAGAATCTGGCCTGGGGAGGTTTAAATCTATTTTCTAATATAGCCCTTTTCACAAGGATTTTAACTACATTTCCATTATTGTGGTAGGTCTGTGTCACATAACTGCAGAGATATTTGTTAGTACCTGTTCCAAGTAGGCATACTATAGTAATGCTGAGATGTATTAAAAGAAGACATATAGCACATTATAAAGCAGTTGTGTGAAAAAGCACCTTTCCCCAGCATTCTCTTGCCCTACTCTTCTTCTGTCTAGAGGGTCCAAGTTTTTTGTTTTAAAGTGCTTTAACTGGATATCCCAGTTAAAGCTTTAGCAGTTTATTTACAGTTCACTTTTGCCTGGGGCAGTTGAAAGCACGTTACAGGATAAGTGAGATAATTTTGTTGCCAGAAGGATGTGCTAGTAGGATTATTGATGTGAAAAAAATTAACCAAGGAGAGTGACATAGCTGGAATTGCAACATGATTTTGTAATTGTATGGGAATTCAGCATAGCAGACATATGTTGTTTTTTTCCATGATTCTTATTTAGAGAAAGCAAATCTGCCTGCAAAAGACCAGAAATGCACCTACAGACAAATATTTAATAGGAGACTGACAAAATTATCTTTCACCTGCACAGTCAAGGCCTGGTGAACTTAGGGAAAACATGCCCATCAGCATCAGTAGGGGTTTGGATCAGACCCTGTGAACTTTTGATTATGGACCAGATTCTTTATCCTTTGTGCAGCAAAATTCCCATTGATGTCAACAGGAGTTTTATCTGTGCAAAGACTTGCAGGATCAGACCTTTTAAAATGCAGTCTGAAACAAGGAAGATAACAAGGGTTTTCTAGAAAAGTATATTTAGTGTTGAGCGTAAACTGCTTTTCTTTATACATCAAACTTGCTGCTCAACCCCATCCCCCTCCACCTTTTCTTCTTATGAAATATATTCTAGGCTTTCCCTTCTACAGCAGAGTTATCTTATTTTATTATTTTTTATAACTAAGGCTCATCAGCCCTTGCTGCTCTGCTGGCATGCAAAGACCCATTGTGCTTCTCAGCCTCCAAGTTGCTTTTCCCTTTTTTTACTAAGTGTCTTCTTGGACAGACATGTGCATTCAGATCCAGAAACATGCTATGCCTGGGTTGTGAGACCCAGTGATCTGTGCCAAGAATGGAAGGAAGTTTTCTCAAATTCAGATGACCCTCACATGTGCCTCCAGAATTGAGCAGCAAGGCTCGCAGAGCACAGGCATTTGTGGTTTGTTAGGGGCTTTTTGCTCAGAGGGAGGATTTCAAAAGGGAAATAGTTGAAAATCTTAAAAATTCTTTATTAAAGCAAGGTCAGTGTATCATAGCACAGATATTGCACTATGATATTTCATTAGCACTCTTGCAATGATCTGGGTCAAATTCTGTGGTCCTGAGTCACTGGAGTATTAGGCTTTCTCTAGAGTCTAATTGGGGGAGGAGGGATATTTAGGGGTCAAAAAACCTGCGGAAAAAAAAACCAGAGGAGCACATGCACAGGCAGCATGCTCTTGCAGCACAGAGAACACTCAATTGTGTGGTATGTACTGCTGTAGACGTGTTTGCGGCGCCACATACCATATGACTGCGCTCATCTGGAGGTGACCCTGGAGTCCAAATATTCCATTATGTATAAAGAGCAGACCTTAGATAAGTCACTTTAACTTAAAGCATATTGCAGATCTACTGAATTCCTCTGTAGTCCCCTTTGCCTGGTCCACTCTCCCTCCTGACGATAGCATGGGAGAGAGTTAGCCTCCTAAAGAGAGCAGTGACTGTTACTACTTTATTGGATATGTCCCACTTGTCGTTAGTTTAAATGAAGCCCCCTCTGATGAAAGTGTTATTTCATTTCTTTAAGTGAAATAACTGTACATAGCAGTCTGCTGAGATGCATAGATGGCACGATACTTTTTAAAGCATACGTCTGTTAATACAAAGATAATATAAATACTAACACTTTAAGAATAATTTATGAAATTGGGATGCTCCCTGCATGATTTTCGTTCCATTTAAAAATATTAGCAGCTTGTGACAGATGGAATCTTGCTCCCATATGTTTTAATCTATTAAAAAAAAAACAAAAAACTGAACCCACTTTTCCAGCCTAGTACATTGAAGCTTTCAGAGAGTCATAAAGAAAATGGACACACATTTTTAACCCTTAGAATAACAGACTTTGGCAATGACCAGACAGAGTACAATTCAACTATTTCTAAGTTCCCCAGGCCAGATTTGACCCTGTAGTAAAATCAGTGGGGTTATCCCAGAGTTTAATAGAGCTCTCTGAGAGTACATTTTAAAAGAAAGGGGGTAATAAAAGTCCAACTGAAACTCAGTAGAACTTAGGCTCCTAAGTGACTTAGTTACTTTTGAAAATTTTACCCTGGAAGCTGTTTACCCAAAACATAAAAGGAAGTTGCAGCATTTTGTGGCATGTCGCATGCATGTCTGTGAAGTAAAAAGTATGTCACACCTGGCTTTTGGCTGTGATATGGAACCTAGGCTGAGCCATACCACAAGGTACATGACAAGTCTTAGTTTAGTGGAGCTAGTAAAAAAGGTGTATAGCTTGTTTCTTTGCTTCACAGATGCTGCCTGCCCCAAGTAACTGCAGTAACTAATGATTCTTGACCGAACCTTGTGCTCCTACTGGACACGGATCTCCTGTTGGAAGCCAATGGGAGTTTTATGTGCAGAAAAAACTGCACCATAAAGTTCAGCACATGGAGCTGGCAACAAATAATGGAATAGGAAGAAGCAAAAGTCTTAAAAAACAACTAAGATGCCTGCCCTCACCCTGGTCTATATTTGTATGCTGTCCCTTTGCCCTGTCAAGTGCATTTTTGTCTCTTCTAGAGTGTAAGCCCTTCATCATAGAGAATGTGTCTGTCTCCGTGTCTGGACAGTGCCCACTACTACAGGACTCTGGCTAGAACATGTTTGTGGAATATTCTCTTTACATCAATCTTGCAAGTTTTCTACTCCATCCCTGGCCTTTGACAACATAAACGTTTATCAGATAACACTTGTTCCCAGTCAAGATGTTATTCTTTATAAATTCAGATTAGAGAATAGTTACAGTGCCTATTAAATGTTTGGCAACCAGAAAAAAACCCATAAATGTTGCATGCTCTGACCAAGAGCCCAAGAGATAGAGCTGACAATGACCAAGTAACTGAGCAGTGCAGAAGTTGAACTGCACCAGGGGATCCATGTTTCAAGCAAGGGAGGGTTCAGATCGGTTTCTACAGACTTAGCTATGCAGCTAAATTTATAGGCATGAGGAGATCAGCCACTCCTGTCAACCACAGTAGTCCCTCTCTCAGCAAAGTTTGGATTCAAGAAATGTACATGTTTTTGGAACACAGGGGACTTTGCAATGCCTGACATTGCCCAGCTGTACCGTTGTGGATTTACATAGTAAATGAATGTGTTTTATGTGCATCAATTCCAAGAAATTTCAAACTTTTTTTCCATTTTATGGGAATGAGAAACATTTGTATGTGTAATTAGTTAACACAGTGCATAGAACTCAGGATAGATATGCTTATTTTTGTGCAACATTGTACAAAATAATGTCTCTAACCTCTGTCAAGTCAGGCAAGAAACAATGCCTTAAATGATGATTAGTATGTGGCTACTGCTAAGAGACTATTCCTTTTCCTACCCACACACTTTTGTTGGCACACGGAGATATACAACTGGGTATGTGCTAATTGGTGTAGGCAGGCAAAAATGCCAGAGAATGCTAAGCTATCCGTTAGCTGCAGTCAGGCTATCGAGAGCTTGGGAATGCAGAGGCACAGAGAACCCATGCTTATAGAATAAAACTCCAGCAGGATTTTTTTTTGTGGGGGTGGGGGTTAGTATTATACATTTAGCTACAATCTTTTAACCTGTCTGAGCATATGGGCCAAAAGGAAAAATACCTTCTCTTTGTCCTTTTCCAGAAAGGCAAGAGAAGGGTACTCTGTGAATATGGTCTTGTCAAGGAGGATAGCCTTGCCCCTGAAGTGCTGGACTGGGTCCAAAATTTGAGTTCCATTCCTGGCTCTGCTTGCATGACTTTTAGCAAGTCATTGAATTTCTCACTCCCTCAGCTCCCCATCTGTAAAATAGGTATAATGTTCCATTTTCTCCCTTCTCTGTTTTGATTTAAGTTCTTTGACACAGGAACTGTTTCCTAGCAGGTGTTTGGACAACACCTAGTGCAATGAGGCCAGCTCTGTGATGGGGCCTACCATGACACAGATAAATAAATAATGTTTTATCAGACTCTAACCTGTCTCCTTGTTTTCAAATTTAGCATCTGAGCAGTAGCTGGGAATCGGCCTCCTGTGGGAAGATAGAGGATCAGATGACCCTTACTGATCAGGCACGTAAATACATGAATGCATTCACAACCCGGACTCTGGTGATGTAAAAAGGGTCCACAAGACAAGCATTATGGTTTTCAAAACACTTCAAGTTGACTTGGAATTTACCGTTCCTCTGCATGAAAACTTTTCATGAATGGGAGAAGAGCATATTTTTGTTGTGGTACAACAGTTGGGAGCAGCACAAAGTGCATTTAGTCACTGAGCATATTCTTGTTGGATTTCACCCAACTTAAAAGGATTTTTTTTAAATAGATGACACTTGCCTAAATTATTAGGTATTGAATTTAATCAATTAATTATTAATTATCTTAAATGCAGACTTATGCTAGAAAATAATTTTTGTACTTTTTGAGATCAAGCCGACCTGATACACCAGTATTGTTATTTCAGTGATAAAATATGTGGGTTTTTTATAAAGAGCAGGTACTCAGTTTTATTTTAAATCACTGAGTGAAATGCATTGGTATGAAATACTGCAGTGAAAAGCATTACTACAAACGCTAGCATGTTCAAAGGTGGAAACCGATCGAGATTTTGAATGCTCAAATACATACCATTTTGAAGTACTCTGATTTTTTCATGGTCCTTAGACCCTATATGCATTGTGTGTTTCTGTTTTATTTTGGGGAGGGGCAGGATTTTTTATTAGCTTGCTTTAAAAATTATTACTGTATGAAACATAGATTTATGAGAACAAATTATATTTTTATTCAGTAATTTAATTTTGTAAATGCCAAATGAATACTGTGTTTTGCTGCTATGGACCTTAGCATGTAGTCGTGCTGCTAGTGTAAAAGGGGCAGTAGAGCTTTATATGAGAGGAAACAAATTTTGATGTTAGCTAATTGACTATGCACTAGCATTTCAGACTTTTTAAAGTTATAATTTACATTTTTTCCTTTTTATAAGCAATACTTTGAACACTGTTCCTGGGAGAGTTTTATTTTTTATCTGGTTGCGTTTTATTTCTCATTGGTTTGTAATGGCATGCGTTGCACCTTCATATGTTTGGGAGAACACTGTCTTGTTCATGTCGTCTTTTTTGTTCCATGTTTTGCTAATTGTTCCCTAACTTGGGTTTTTTGTACTGAATTGAGGATATTAGAAATGATGGCTCTATGTACTGCCATATCAAACTTTTATGGCAAGAACATTGTTTTGTTTTGTTTTAAATAAATTTTGACTTGGCTGCCTTAATACCATTTGGTGCAGCTTCATCTGCACTTAATTTTTGATACAACCATGTACTGCCTTGTAGATAAATAAAGTGTGTTCTTTTTTACTTAAATGTGGTCAGTCTTCTGAACTTGCTCTTGTTTTATGTTGTAGCAATCGTATTTTAAACAATTACCAGGATAGTGGCATTTTTTCCATTGATGCCAGGGGGCAAACAGATGTCACACTTGTGCTTCCATAAAAATGTTTAGGGTGGCACAAAACCTGAGTGAATAGACACCCCTGCTCCTTTTTGCACCCAAAATGGCGATGCAGTGATTTGTAGTAATAGTTTGTACTGCCTTTTCACAGTGGATATCTGCAGTGGATATCTGCACAGTGGATATCAATATTTATGTGAGTGAGAGCAGCTCAGGGCTGACTGTACTCTCCAGCAGGGGCTCTTAGGGCCAAGTCCTGTGGACTAGCAGCCCCAGGTGCCTGGCCTCAAGTGGGGAGTGTCCTAGGACACCCCATGCACTCCCCACTCCACACTTGCAGACACGTCTCAAGAATTCCCCAGGGCACGTGTTTCACACTAGGCACACATCCATAAGTGCAGAGTGAGGAACATATGGGGTTACCCGGGACATCCCTGGGTAGGGGCCGGGCACCTGGGACTGTTCCCCTGAAGCCCTGGGAGCACCAGGGGCCCAATCCTGCAGGACAACATCTGCCAATCAATCAACACCTCAGCACAACTGATCCCACCACAAACATGACATCTATTTGTAGCCATGATGATAAAATCAGGATTTTGTTATTGTAATACTATATTCTATGATCATGGATTGGTTTTGACTTAAAAGACTTCTGCTTGTAAGTACTCCGAGCTCTCAACTCTTACAGCTATAATCAGAGTTCAGGTTACCCAGCAGACCGCTGCAAATATTAACTATTACAGATTCAGGCCTTAAATCCATGGGCATATCAATAACTGAGGGGCTGGTTGCAGCTTCCAGGAAAAGGTGTTGTTTTTCTGAGATATTGCCTTCACATACCCCTTATTTTCATCCTTCTATCAGAGACTACCACATCAGGAGCTGTTGTAAGTCATCATCTTTTGGTACATACAACATAGCGGGACAGCCACGTGTACTGTTGACACTTGTCTCAGCAGTTAGAGATCCAAATCTGACTTAAAACTCCCCATGATTTCACAGCACAATGAATATGTGTTCAGACCTGCAGGTCCTAATCCAGAAAAAGTGCTGAGGACTCTCAGCCTCCATGTATTTAGCTGGGAGCTGACAGCGTGAAATTTTATAAACACCACTAGTCATTATTTAAAAATATTGTGTGTGAGTCGCCTTATTTTAACTGTTTCAGAACACCAGGGGCTACAATATGAGTAAATTTAGTTTTTTCAGAGTTACACAATTGTACATGACAGCTGAATTTAGCCTACTGTGAGAGAGAATTCAGTGTAACTAGAGGCTCAATCCAAGTAGGTGTATAAGGACCAGGGGTGAGATCCAGCGAGTCCTTTTCATCCTCTTGATAGAAGGCTGCGGTGGTATAAAGCATCCCTAGGCTCTCCTTGTTCATCTGGACAAGGATTTTCCTGGTGCAGGCACTCTGGTGAACAGGCATGACCAGGGATCCGGGTTTTCTGTTTCCAATGGAAAAATGGAGTAAAACACGGATTTCCCTCTTTACCGGAGGAAAATGCAGATTTCTCATTTTAGCGGAGAAACCCACAGAGTTTGCAGTTGTGCAGCAAGCTCTCTGTAGGCTGGCAGCATTGCAGCCTGCAAGGGGCTGAAGGGAGTGGGAGGAGGGCAGTCAGGCAGGGGGAGCCATGTATATGCACATGACCGCTGGGCAACCTGGAGAGCAGCTCCCGCATGTAAGTTGTGAGGCAGAGGCAGGGATGGGGTTGAGGCCCCCATAGGAAGGGAGGGAGGGAGTTAGGCAGGGCTGGGGCTGGGACTGCTGCCTAACTGGGCGGTGCATGCAGCTTGGGGCCTGGGGCCTAAACGCACAGCCACAGGGCCCCAGCGGGGAGTGGGAGGGGCTGTGGGCAGCTTGTCCAGGGGGTGGGGGAAAAGGGAGATTCCCTGCTGCTGTGTGCCCTCCCAGGTGGCAGGGGGGGAACCCATGCCCCCCAGATCTGGGGGCAGGTGTGGGCTGCCCACTGGGCTTGGGCTCCTGCCGTCCTGCCCTCCCCCAGGATCTCTGCAGCCCAGCGGGTGCAACCAGGCGCGGTAGGGCAGAGCAGGGCCACGCAGGAAAGCTGCTTCCCATTGCGAGCTTTGAGCTGCCCTGGCAACGTGTCCCCTAATTGCAGGGCTGCAGTGAGGGGCACAACCTGATGCAACTGCCCCCGTTGCTGCCACGCATGCAGGGGATGTGTCGCCAGGGCAGCAGAGTGGGAGCCTGAGCCCACAACACGAACCTGCCCCCACCCTGCACACAGATCTGGGGTGAACGGGTCCCCTCATGGGTTGGAAACAGCCCGACGGAGGTGCCAGAGAGGGCTGCAGATAATAGGACTACACATGAAGGTCTCAAGTCCATGGACCAGCCTAGACTTTTCCCCACAGAAAGCCCCCTGGGCTCTGCTTCTTAGGGGTGCAACCAAGCATCTCGCCCCAGTTTGTGCGCTGCATCTCCACAGGCGCAACAGGGAGAGGAAAGGACAGATGTGGTTTTACACCCTGGTTGTGTCCTTCGATGCTTTTGTTTTCTGGTGCAACCAGGAGCTGCCCCAGGAGGTACAGGCATTTGAACAGTCTTCCACGGGTACTTATGGGCTGCAGTGCAGGATGGCTATACTGCCTGCTTATCTAGGGCAATAATTCTCAACCTTTTTTGTACCAGGACCCATTTGTAAATATCAATGGCCAGTCTCAACTCAGTGCCCCTTGCTCCTGCTACCTGCCATTCAATTTGGGGTGGGGGGGCGGGGGAGCCCCAAACAGCCCCTTGCAGGCTGGAACTCTGCCAGCCTGCAAGAGAAAAGCTAGTTTCCCATGTTAAAGAAGAATCGATTTTTAAAGTTTGTTAATGCATTTTTAAAGTTTGCAACCCTTTTATATATTCTTATGACCCACTTTTGGGTCATGACCCACAGGTTGAGAAAAGCTGGTCTAGGACATACCCTTCAGGTCCTTGTGAAGGGGCAGTTTAGGGCTACTTATATGAGCCCAACACCTCTCATCTGCAGAAGGGAATTTTTTGGCCTCTTGCAGCTTATTTTCTGCCATGAGAATCAAAACCTTAAATAGCTGGAAGGTGCTTATTGCAGCAAAACCTGGGTGCTGTCTAAGGATTACTGCAAACAGGAAGTTTGTGGGAACACTTATGTGAGTAAAGGTTGCAGGTCTGGGTCATTAAAAATTCTTACGCAAGATGTTAGAGGCCTGCAGGATTTCATCGTATGCAACTTGGAAAAAGGGAAAGTGCTTTGTTTGTGGCAGGCCATGGCTTAAGCAATGTGTTATAGCTAAAAAAAAAAAAAGCAGCAGCAGCAGCAAGCTTACAAGAGCTCTCTCACTTGTGTCAAGCATGCTCTTCAGTGCTCCAGCACAGACTGCCAGCAAAGCATTGCTGGTTTTAAAAAGCATTATGTAACTGGCTGGAAAGGACTCAGGTGCCCACGGAGAATCTGTAGGTTTGCGCTGAGCATTGTCAGCAGTAGAACCGGCTTCTTTATGCAAACTCTTAAATGCTCTAACATCACATGCAAAAACCATTTAAATAAGTTTCTTATTTATGGTGCCACTTACAACTAATATGCAGGAAAATTCTTTTTTTCTTCCTCCGTTTCACTCTTTTTATTGAAAATGCAAAGCACCCAGTAGATTAAGCCTGATTTGCATAGAATTGAGCAGATATGTGGCTCTAAGAGGCTTTGTTCAAATGCTGTGGTCCGTATATTTGAGTATTTATTTTTCCTTCCAATTTTTGCCGTACGGGCTTTGCAAAATAAGAGATCCTGCTCATCTTCCTCATACAACCAGCTCAGCTAGGCCAAGTTCCAGTCAAGGTTGGGGAGATAGACACCTTTGTAGAGGGCCAGCATAAGTCTCAGGGCTTTGTTAGGTCCCATCCAAGCCCTATCATTAGAGTGTAAGAGGTCTTGGCAATACATCATTGGGTTTGCACTAGTCCTGAACACAAATGTGAACTGACCCAGGTTTAAATCTGGAGTAATTCCACCCAACGTCAGTGGTGTCAGTGAAAAGAGCTTTTGGCTCACTGAGGTTCAGCCAAGTTATTCTGCATTTTAATTTTAATCTGAGAGCAGAGTTTGCCCTCAATGTCTATTCTGGTTTTTTTCCCTCCATCACAATTGCATGTTAATATTGTCTCCAGCAGGACGTCTTTTAAATTCTGTGAAGAATTTGAACTGTTCTCTCAGCACGTGCCACTCATTTTTTTTTTTTTAAAAGGGATAAAGGAACAGCGAAACAATGAAAGCGAACAGAGCAAGTAGTTTCCCAGACAGTACGATACAGTTCGCTAACTTTCCTCAGCAGCTTGTTCCAGATTAACACATGTCCTGTACAAGAGGTCTTTAAAGTTCAAAGCCTGGACAAACCCCGACTATGTGAAGCCGCTGCAGCGAGTAAACTGGGGATGAACTCGGAAGCTACCAGCAGGAAACACGACAGCTTGAGCTGTAACCCATGCAACGTCCTCTGTGGATAGGGCAGAGGTGGCACAGAGCACATGCCAACCACCCAACAAGATGTGCTCCACAAATGCTGGAGGAAAGATATAATCTCTCTATATTTTTTTATCTTAAATTTCTCTCATTCATTTGTATGAGAAACCTGGCCACTTTTAGGCATTGCCCAGGGAAGCAAGTGGCTGCCACACTTACGCAAGGAGTGTTTCACAAGGTTGCGAAGGCAGCATTTCCACCTGTTACGACCCTGTCCTTCCTACTTCTGCCAAGCTAAATTCTGTTTCTAAACTGTTCCCCATATAGGGAGGGCATTAGGAAAGAGGAGAGGATTTAGTTCATAGGATGCACCAGCCTGCTTCCAATAAAAAGCGGGGGAGGGAGGTAACAATGGGAAACAAATCACCATTAATTATGAG